GAAGGGAAGGTAGAGACAAGGGGAAAAAATGAGAACCAAGACTTGTCATGTAAAGGTACAAGATCCCAGTAATGAATGTAATTGTACTGTATACCTAGAATGTACCAATAAACTCAATAAAAAGAAAAGAAAAAAAAAAAGATCAGGCTGAGTGTTGTAGTGCAGGCTAATTCTATGATTAATCAAGAAAATTAAACTCAAGATTTTAAGACTGCTTAAGTGAGTCACCCAAAAGAATTAAAAACAGCTCAGGGCTGGGGATTTAGCTCAATGGTTCCACCACCTGCCTTGCAAGCACAAGGTCCTGAGTTCGAACCTCAGTACTAATAAATAAATAAATACAGCTAGCTCTATCCACTATAGCCAAAAAATGGAAATAATCTAAATGTTCATCAAGTGATGAATGGATAAACAAAATGTAGTATCACCAAGCAATGGACTATTATTCAGCCACATAAAAGAAATGAAATACTGATACAAGATATGACGATGAACTCTGAAAACATTACACTGTGGGTTATATGTTGCCCTCCATGAGCAAAGCCCTGGGTTCAATCCCCTGTACTGCTAAAAAACCAAGCAACAAAAAAACAATTAGGCTAAGTGAAAACACATGAAAAGGCTACATATTGATGACTCCATTTATAGGAAATAACCAAAATAGGTGAATTTATAGAGACAGAGATCAGTGGTTTCCAGAAGTCAGGAAAGGGAGGGATGTGGGGAGAAACTGTGTTTAATACATATGAGCTTTTCCTTGGGGTAATAAAAATGTTCCAGAACTAGACAGTGATGATGGTTGCAGTTTTTTTAGTATACTAGATGCCATTAAGTTGTATACTTTAAAACTATAGTGGCCGGGCCTGGTGGCGCATGCCTGTAATCCCATCATTCTGGAGTCTGAGGCAGGAGGATCACTGTGAGTTCGAGACCAGCCTGAGCTACACAGTGAGTTCCAGGTCAGTCTCAACTACATAGTGAGACCCCCGTCTCAAAAAACCAAGAAAAAAAAAAAAAAACCTATACATTTATATTTACTTTTAAGTGATGAATTTTGTTATAAGAATTTTATACTTTCCAAAACAGTGAGTCAAAATCTCCATTTTACACTAGCACAGTCTATCCTACTCAACCTAATATGAACACACAGATAATCAGATTTGGGGCATGGCTTTGCTATGTGTTCCTCAGCCAAAGTACTTACGATCTCTGAATTTCCCTGATCTACAAAATGGGCATCATAATAATACCTATTTTATATAGATGTTGAAAAAAATTTAGTGGAGATAAATAACGAGTGCCAGGCAAGAATAAGTGCTAACCAGAAGTCATAATTTCCCCAGAAACTGTGCAATTTTAAATGTTAGAAGTAAAATCTTGCCTGGAGAGATGATGCACGCCTGTAATCCCAGCACTGAGGAGGCTGAGGCAGGACAATCACCTGAGTTTGAGGCCAGCCTGAGCTACACAGTGATTTCAAAGCCAGCCTGAACTGCACAGTGAGACCCTGCCTCAATCCCACCACCAAAAACAATAAAATCTTACTTGGACTCGGAGTTCCTACAGTGTGGTCTATGGACCTCTGAAGGCCCCAAGAGTCTTCTAGGGGATCTATGAGGTCAAAACTACTTCTAAAATACTAGGGGATGTAGCTACTATGGTTTAGATCTAAAATGTCCCCCCAAAATCTCTTGTGTGTGGAAAGTAACTGGATTACAGGGGTGCTGCACTCAACAGTGGCGTCATCCACGGATAAGTTCACAGCTGAAAATGCTGCCAGGAGGTGGGGCCTGGCTGGTCCTGGTCACTGGGGTGTGTCCTAGAAAGGCTGTGCTTGGCCCTGCCTCCTTCCTCTCTCTGCTTCATGGCCTTCAGGGGTTGAGCACCTTTTCCTTCACCAGCCCCTTTTCCCTTCCTGTTTCTGCCTTGCAGCCAGCTGCCCATGGACTGAAACTGAGCCAAAGGAAACCTCTCCTCCTTCAAGTTATGGGTGTCTGGTATTTGGCCCAGCAGTGGTAGGAAAGTGGCTAAGATAGCATCTCAGGGGTAGGGCGTATGCTTGGTTGGCATGCACAAGGCCCACGATTTAATTCTTAGCAAATCATCATAGTAATAATGACAACACACATGGTATGTTATTTGCTTTTTTCACTGCAATGACATTCACTCTGATGGTGTATAAATAATAGTGTGTGAAACGCTGGTGCCTTAGCATGAATTACAGCAGTGGCACAAATGTATTAGTATATTCTTCACTGCATATTCAGAGTCTTAAAAATTCAATTTTATTTGTCTCTGACAAAGAAACAAAAACAACAAACGATTAAATTTCTTCCCCTATGTGCACCTCCTTTTAATTCTCTGTGTGGCGAACTTGGTCATCCACACAAGGCACTTGGTCTGTACACCTGAGTGAGCTCTCGGAACTGTAACTGAGCTCAACCACTCTTGGTCCATGAAGCACTATTTTTACTTAAAAGAACAACTGACAGACAAATTATGGTGACTCAGACTTGGCTGTGTGGAGACATTTTCTCAAAAAAGAACTTCAGAGAAAATAATTGTTAGTATTTTCTACCAACAATAAAATTCAAACTTTCAGGTGAAAATAAGAATTTTGGAAAATGTTTATCTGCCAGTATGAGCTTGACAGCTTCCTGGTGCTTAAAAGGTATTCATGATTTTGGCAGAGATATTAATACATATTTTAATACTGTGTAATGAAATGTGTCAACATTTGGAAAATCTGAATAACTCAACAAACCTCTATTTTCTAAAAGAACACTGTTGCAAAATTGTGCATGGGTTAAAGATTCAGCCAAAGTGCAAGACATATCAAAAGATTTTAATGCTAACAGTATAAAATGTTCGCTGATATGGTTTCAGATTCTACATTGCAACTAACCTTTAAGAAACTATGACTTGTCAAGTTTTAGAGCAGTATGAATTAGCCACAAATATATGTAAAGATCATTAACTTATGCCTCATTTTTCCAACCACATATCTATGTCAGTCTGTGTATATGGTATGGGGATGAAACCCATGGCCTTTTATGTGCTAGGCAAGTGCTCTGCTACTAAGTATACTCCCAGCCAGATTGAGTTTATATCTGTCTGTCTATCTATCTGTGTATATATCTATCTATCTGGATATATATAGCTATCTATACGGATATTTATATAGATAGATAAATGTCCAGTCAAAACAACACATTGCATAGGTTGAATGCAGACACAGATATGAGAACTCAGCCTTTTTCTATTAAACAGTTACAAAAATGTAAAACATGCCTATTCACTACATTCTTTTGGTTTGAATGATAGAGAGTTGTTTATGGGAAATATATTACTTATAAAAACAAGAAATTATTTTATTATTATTATTTTTAAAGGAATTAAGAGGCACTGGGTGTGGTGGCACACACCTAAAATCCCAGCACTCAGGAGATGAAAGCAGGAGAATTGTTGTGAGTTCGAGGCCAGCCAGGGCTACGCAGTGAGTTCAATGTTAACCTGAATTACAGAGTGAGACTCTGTCACCAAAAAAAAAAAAGAATTAAGACATTAAACTGCCCAGCTTTGCTGGGAATTTAGCTCAGTGGCACTGCACCTGTCTCACAGATGCTAGATCCTGAGTTTGATTCCCAGTACAAAAAAAAAAAAAAAAAA